GGCCTTTCAGACGGCGGATCTGAACCCCTCGACTAAGCTCCCCCCTCAGTCTCCGCAGCCTCCTCAAACCCCAGCCACAGACTTGCGCCCCTTGCCCAAGCCACTCCCCCGCGCACCCTGGGTCCCAGCCTCCGCCTCCGCCCGGTCGCCCCCTGTCCTGTTCCCCGCGAGGTCTAACCCAGCCTGCGAATTCCCGGCTCTCGCCCCAAACCTTCGCCCCGCCTCCCCGGCCGGGAGGCACCCTGCTTCTCTCGGTGCCCAGCCCCGCGCGCCTCCTGGCTCAGCCTTCCTCCCCCTCGTCCCCGCCCCTCCAGCCGCTCCCGCTCGGCCCCCGCACTCTGGCCGCTCGATTCCAGCCGGGATTCGAGCTCCCGGGATCTCCTTTCCCGGGCCATCCCGAACCAGCTAGTCTCCAGGTAAGAAGGCGGCTGCAAGTTCTCCGGGGCCTCCCCCTGGTGCGGTGGCCCCTCTGGGCAGCTACCTGCGCTGGGCGCCTCGGGAGTCCCGGGCCGGCGGAGGGTCGCTCCGCGCGTGGGTTAACGTGCCTGCTTGCTCAGTTCGGATGCCTGGACGCTCAGGTTAGGACCGCGTGGTTTCGACCCCGCGGCGTTGTTTTTGCGGGTGCACTTGCGTACGTCGCGATCTTCTCAAGCAGCCGGCTTTGTCACACACGGAAGGGGCTTGCGTGGAGCAGGTTGCTGTCTTTGCGGCTGCCGCTGGGTTTCCCGGTGCTCGCTGGGTTTCCAGTCGTACCTGTGGAGGGTGAAGGGTTGGCGGTGCAGGAGGACATGCAGCCATATTCTCCCACTTCGGCTGGCCGTCCAGAGGTTGCGAAGGCTCTCTGTGCGGAACCTGGTCGTGGCCAGCGGGGTGACCAGTACCTTCGTGAGAAGGAAAGCAAGGATGCTCCGAAAGCATGCAACAAGTAAAATCAGGAGCGATGTGGATGAGATCGCACTGCGAACGGGGGAGTGTGGGTGGATGGCTAGGAGGCCCAGGGGAGGTCTGCCGCAACCCGGGGACGTTCGCTGATACATGCCCAAGGCCCGTGTCACCCTGGTGGGCACAGTGAGCAGAGCCCACCCTTCCCAGGTGAGGACGTGACCACAGGCGGCGGGCTTGGCACACTCCCTCCTCCTGGGAGCAGTCCGTGCCCAGGCTGGACATCTGTGGGAAGAGGGTTTAAAACAGATGGCTGGAAAAGCCACGTGGTCCCTGGAGAGGTGGCGATGCCGGGTGACAGCCTGAGTGCCAGTGTGCGAACACGCCCCATCCCTTCCTCTGGCTTTCATTAAGTCGTGGATTAAATTAATTGCCTATTCCAGAGAGAGGACTTGTACAGAGGATTCTCTTTCGGTGATTGGCTCCTGGCCAGCCCACCCTCACTGAAGGCTTGGGAGCCTGTGTTTAGGCACCAGAGACCGGGTGACCACCTGGCTTTTGGGGTACAGCAGTTCTAAGCTTTTGTAAAACTGCCATAACTGTAACTCTTCTACCGATTGGCATGAATAATGATGAGCTCAATATTCCCATACCATTGAATAGGTGAGTAATTAGCCCAAGTCAGTCTGGGCGCAGTAGGGTCCCTCCGGGTGCCCAGAGATTCCTGTAAGCTTCTCATCCACGCTAACCAGCTGCTCTGTGATACGGCGGTGACTGTCAGGTGCCCTCCGGGCCAGGAACACCCTCTCCTGCCTAGTTCGCTGTGTTGGAAGTACTGGCTCTGCCGGGTAAATAAGTGGGTCCCCCCCTCTCGAAATGATCTGGGTCTATAACCCGTGTTTTTCCATTATGTTTCCCTGTTTTCAAAGTGTTGTCCTTACCTTCAACCACTTTAAATATAAATGTGTTTATTCGTGTGTGTGTTTGGGTAGTGAGATCAGTCTGCAGCCACTCCGACGGCTGGTCTTTACCCTCAGTGGGAACGGCAGAATTTCCATGAAATAAGTCAGCTGTCCGCATCCCAAATGGGGTTGGGGAGTGGGGCACCCACTAAGACTGCTGAGGGGTGAGTCCACCACAGCTTAAATCCAAGCTGGCCCAGCCCTGTTTGGCATCCCCCTCCCTGCCCACTGGTGGAAGACGCTCTCAGGGAGACAGGTGCCACTCGCAGAACCCCGTGGGCCCTGGACATTGCCCATCCTCACCCCAGGGCTGCTGCCCATCCAGATCCTTTCCTCGCAGGGCTGGGAGCGTCCGTCCTTGCTCATTTCTGGCAGTATGGTTTGCAGTGCTGGGGAGAGGGGAGGGAGGCTGGTGTTTGAGGACAGTGCTTTGGCTTGTCAGGGACAGCTGTGACCCACTGGCAGATGGAGCAAAGTCCACTCCTTTGCCTCTGTCAAAAGCCAGTCCAAGGGCATAGGCTAGCGGAGCTGTGGAGGGGGAGTGACCCATGCTTCCTTGCTTTTTGTTTTTATTTTTTATTTTTTTTTGGAATCTGGGAAGGGCTGGAATGGAAATGCTACTTGGGTGTGGGAACCTGCAGTGCCCCCGGCTGTCAGGGGCTTATCTTTCTTACCCAGACTGTCTTGTCTTCAACCTTGGCTCTTACCCAGAATTCCTGCAGCTGGTGGAAATCTGTTTTCTAGAAAAGGTTTAATTAATGCTTGTAGTTTGTCAGAGAGGAAGGGAGTGGGAGACAGAGATACTGGTGTTTGGAGGGGGTGGGAGAAAGGATGAGAGAATATTCGAGGTCCTGCCAATTCACTGGGGGTCATTTCAGCCCCGAGACCTGTCCTGGGATAAGGTCTGGGTTAGTGGGCAAGGAAGGGTACCCACATGCTGCTGTAGGGGTTACTGTCGGGAGCAGAGTCCCAGAAACAAGAAAGATGGCCTCACGAATAACCGGAAATAAGGTTCCCTGTACCCCCCCTTCTGGTTCCTTGTAGGCCTTCAAAGCTAGCTGGGAGTTGGTTTTCACGAGGTGGGAGAACACTGAGCTGCTTTGAGGAATGGTGGCTCGAGCAAGGCTGGTCTGGGCTCTGCCTGAACGAGCCGCCTCACACCTGAGATGCTGAAGAGTCCAGGAGAGTGTCACAAGGAGGAGCGACCCGGAGGGTCCCTGTGCCTAGATGTACCAGGTATATGAAGAGTGAACAGCCTTCTAACAGGACGGTGGGCCTTTTGATAGAAGCAGACTGCCAGGAGACGCTTCCTGAGCCTCCTGTGCAGGTGGGATGGGGCCCTTCGGAGCCTCTCAACCTGGGAATACTGTAAGGGCAGCCATGAGGAGGCACCCGTGAGCCTGGAATGAATCACAGGGGCTGCTCCAAGTCCATGAGCACTGGGCCAGGGGCACCTAACTCAGCCACACTGCACTCCAGCCTGCTTCCTGGCACGCACAGAACCTGCAAGCTGCAGGGCTTGTTTTCTGTGACCACTGGCTTTGGGGAAAGATCTGTTTCTGTTCCTTTTTTAAAAATTATTTCATTCATTCATTCATTCATGCATGCATTCATTTTAATTTGACCAGAGAGAGAGAGAAAAAAAGTGAGAAAGCAAGCCACCAGGTCCAGGACTGGAACTGCAGTCGGCCATGTGGGAGTGTCCGGTGCCTTAACCATCATGCCACCCACTGGTTCCTGGGGAAAGATCTATTTCTAATGAAGGGAGGAATAATTTCAGGAGCACAGAGGAAGCTAATGATTAAAAAGGCATAGGGGGTCAGCAGGTGGTATGGAGATTAAGGCCACAGGATCCCACATGGCCAACTGTAGATCAAATCCTGGACCCGGTGGCTTGAAATTATACCGGACACAAGTGCGCACATGCCCAAAATCCCGAGAGGAGAATGGAGGGATTGTGGTGTGGCCATTCTCCCTTGGGAGGTGATTTCTCCCTTAGCCTCCCCCGACCCTCCTGTCTCTTTCTGCTAAGCACACACACCTTATAGCAAAAGAAAAAACGTGTTGAAAAAGAACTTGGAGGAGCCCTGAGGAGCGGCGATGCAGCCAGGAGGCTGCCTTCACCACTGCGTCCTTTTGGCTGAGTCCCCCAGGCACACACCCACCCCTTCGCCCCACTCCCCAACCCCTTCATCAGCAGGTCAATGGGGCCACCTCTCCTGGGTTCCCTGGGGTGGAGGAGAGTTTGGAGAACTCAGACATCTGGCAGTAGAGACGGTAGGAATTTAAACATTCTCTTTCTAGAGTCACTTCCCCAACTTACACACCCACGTTTCTGTTTACAAGGTGTTTACAAGGTGGCTTGTCTCCCCTTCCCCTCACCCCCAATCCAAGGCTCATGATTTGGCCCTGGTGGGTGGTGATCAGATGTCCCCTAGAAGTTCCTGTGTTGGGACGTGATTGCCTTGTAAAGGTTTTAAGTGAAAACTTAATTTCTTTGTTCTGTCCCATAGGGGTGGGACTTTGGGGTGTGACAAAGTCATTAAGGTGGTCCCCCAAGAACGACTTCTGGTGTGTTTATAAGGAGAGGAAGTGAGGCAGACAGAGCCCACGTGGTTACAGAGCATGCTGCCTCTGCTCAAAGTTCTTTCTGCCATTTGTGATGCCTTTGGACTTCGTAGCCGCCAGAACCGTGACTCAGCGCACCTCTGTGTCTTTATAAATGACCCAGTCTCAGGTAATTCTGTTAGCAACACAATAACACACCAAGACACAGGCATCCTTGTGTCATCTGCTTGCCACCTCTGTACCTCTGCAAGTGACCGACTGCCTACAATCAATAGCATAAAGGGACCAGCAGTTGGTGTAATGGCTATGTCGCTGGACTCCCATGTAGTCAATTGCAGTTCAAGTCCGGACCCAGTGGCTTAAACTCACGCTGGGCGCATGTCGGTGATACGGCGGTGACTGTCAGGTGCCCTCCGGGCCAGGAACACCCTCTCCTGCCTAGTTCGCTGTGTTGGAAGTACTGGCTCTGCCGGGTAAATAAGTGGGTCCCCCCCTCTCGAAATGATCTGGGTCTATAACCCGTGTTTTTCCATTATGTTTCCCTGTTTTCAAAGTGTTGTCCTTACCTTCAACCACTTTAAATATAAATGTGTTTATTCGTGTGTGTGTTTGGGTAGTGAGATCAGTCTGCAGCCACTCCGACGGCTGGTCTTTACCCTCAGTGGGAACGGCAGAATTTCCATGAAATAAGTCAGCTGTCCGCATCCCAAATGGGGTTGGGGAGTGGGGCACCCACTAAGACTGCTGAGGGGTGAGTCCACCACAGCTTAAATCCAAGCTGGCCCAGCCCTGTTTGGCATCCCCCTCCCTGCCCACTGGTGGAAGACGCTCTCAGGGAGACAGGTGCCACTCGCAGAACCCCGTGGGCCCTGGACATTGCCCATCCTCACCCCAGGGCTGCTGCCCATCCAGATCCTTTCCTCGCAGGGCTGGGAGCGTCCGTCCTTGCTCATTTCTGGCAGTATGGTTTGCAGTGCTGGGGAGAGGGGAGGGAGGCTGGTGTT